AGATATTTCAGGGTAGAAGTTACACTGACAGTGGTTACACTGTTACATGACATTAGTAACACGGGTGTAGTTACAGGAGCGGTAGATACAGGTAGATATTTCAGGGTAGAAGTTACATGGCAGTGGTTACACTGTTACATGACATTAGTAACACGGGTGTAGTTACAGGGAGCGGTAGATACAGGTAGATATTTTCAGGGTAGAAGTTACATGGCAGTGGTTACACTGTTACATGACATTAGTAACACGGGTGTAGTTACAGGGGAGCGGTAGATACAGGTAGATATTTCAGGGTAGAAGTTACATGGCAGTGGTTACACTGTTACATGACATTAAAGTAACACGGGTGTAGTTACAGGGAGCGGTAGATACAGGTAGATATTTCAGGGTAGAAGTTACATGGCAGTGGTTACACTGTTACATGACATTAGTAACACGGGTGTAGTTACAGGGAGCGGTAGATACAGGTAGATATTTCAGGGTAGAAGTTACCTGGCAGTGGTTACACTGTTACATGACATTAGTAACACGGGTGTAGTTACAGGGAGCGGTAGATACAGGTAGATATTTCAGGGTAGAAGTTACATGGCAGTGGTTACACTGTTACATGACATTAGTAACACGGGTGTAGTTACAGGAGCGGTAGATACAGGTAGATATTTCAGGGTAGAAGTTACATGACAGTGGTTACACTGTTACATGACATTAGTAACACGGGTGTAGTTACAGGGAGCGGTAGATACAGGTAGATATTTCAGGGTAGAAGTTACATGGCAGTGGTTACACTGTTACATGACATTAGTAACACGGGTGTAGTTACAGGGAGCGGTAGATACAGGTAGATATTTCAGGGTAGAAGTTACATGGCAGTGGTTACACTGTTACATGACATTAGTAACACGGGTGTAGTTACAGGAGCGATAGCTACAGGTAGATATTTCAGGGTAGAAGTTACATGGCAGTGGTTACACTGTTACATGACATTAGTAACACGGGTGTAGTTACAGGGAGCGGTAGATACAGGTAGATATTTCAGGGTAGAAGTTACATGGCAGTGGTTACACTGTTACATGACATTAGTAACACGGGTGTAGTTACAGGGAGCGGTAGATACAGGTAGATATTTCAGGGTAGAAGTTACATGGCAGTGGTTACACTGTTACATGACATTAGTAACACGAGTGTAGTTACAGAGCGATAGATACAGGTAGATATTTCAGGGTGGAAGTTACATGACAGTTGTTACACTGTTACATGACATTAGTAACACGGGTGTAGTTACAGAGAGCGTTTGATACAGGTAGATATTTCAGGGTAGAAGTTACATGGCAGTGGTTACACTGTTACATGACATTAGTAACACGGGTGTAGTTACAGGAGCGGTAGATACAGGTAGATATTTCAGGTAGAAGTTACATGACAGTGGTTACACTGTTACATGACATTAGTAACACGGGTGTAGTTACAGGAGCGGTAGATACAGGTAGATATTTCAGGGTAGAAGTTACATGGCAGTGGTTACACCGTTACATGACATTAGTTACACGGGTGTAGTTACAGGAGAGGTAGATACAGGTAGATATTTCAGGGTAGAAGTTACCTGGCAGTGGTTACACAGTTACATGACATTAGTAACACGGGTGTAGTTACAGGAGCGGTAGATACAGGTAGATATTTCAGGGTAGAAGTTACATGGCAGTGGTTACACTGTTACATGACATTAGTAACACGGGTGTAGTTACACGGGGAGCGGTAGATACAGGTAGATATTTCAGGGTAGAAGTTTATGACAGTGGTTACACTGTTACATGACATTAGTAACACGGGTGTAGTTACAGGAGCGGTAGATACAGGTAGATATTTCAGGTAGAAGTTACATGGCAGTGGTTACACTGTTACATGACATTAGTAACACGGGTGTAGTTACAGGAGCGGTAGATACAGGTAGATATTTCAGGGTAGAAGTTACATGACAGTGGTTACACTGTTACATGACATTAGTAACACGGGTGTAGTTACAGGAGCGGTAGATACAGGTAGATATTTCAGGGTAGAAGTTACATGGCAGTGGTTACACTGTTACATGACATTAGTAACACGGGTGTAGTTACAGAGCGATAGATACAGGTAGATATTTCAGGGTAGAAGTTACATGGCAGTGGTTACACTGTTACATGACATTAGTAACACGGGTGTAGTTACAGGGAGCGGTAGATACAGGTAGATATTTCAGGGTAGAAGTTACATGGCAGTGGTTACACTGTTACATGACATTAGTAACACGGGTGTAGTTACAGGGAGCGGTAGATACAGGTAGATATTTCAGGGTAGAAGTTACCTGGCAGTGGTTACACTGTTACATGACATTAGTAACACGGGTGTAGTTACAGGGAGCGGTAGATACAGGTAGATATTTCAGGGTAGAAGTTACATGGCAGTGGTTACACTGTTACATGACATTAGTAACACGGGTATAGTTACAGAGCGATAGCTACAGGTAGATATTTCAGGGTAGAAGTTACATGGCAGTGGTTACACTGTTACATGACATTAGTAACACGGGTGTAGTTACAGGGAGCGGTAGATACAGGTAGATATTTCAGGGTAGAAGTTACATGGCAGTGGTTACACTGTTACATGACATTAGTAACACGGGTGTAGTTACAGAGCGATAGCTACAGGTAGATATTTCAGGGTAGAAGTTACATGGCAGTGGTTACACTGTTACATGACATTAGTAACACGGGTGTAGTTACAGGGAGCGGTAGATACAGGTAGATATTTCAGGGTAGAAGTTACATGGCAGTGGTTACACTGTTACATGACATTAGTAACACGGGTGTAGTTACAGGGGAGCGGTAGATACAGGTAGATATTTCAGGGTAGAAGTTACATGGCAGTGGTTACACTGTTACATGACATTAGTAACACGGGTGTAGTTACAGAGAGCAGTAGATACAGGTAGATATTTCAGGGTAGAAGTTACATGACAGTGGTTACACTGTTACATGACATTAGTAACACGGGTGTAGTTACAGGGAGCGATAGATACAGGTAGATATTTCAGGGTAGAAGTTACATGACAGTGGTTACACTGTTACATGACATTAGTAACACGGGTGTAGTTACAGGGAGCGGTAGATACAGGTAGATATTTCAGGGTAGAAGTTACATGGCAGTGGTTACACTGTTACATGACATTAGTAACACGGGTGTAGTTACAGGGAGCGGTAGATACAGGTAGATATTTCAGGGTAGAAGTTACATGGCAGTGGTTACACTGTTACATGACATTAGTAACACGGGTGTAGTTACAGAGCGATAGATACAGGTAGATATTTCAGGGTAGAAGTTACATGGCAGTGGTTACACTGTTACATGACATTAGTAACACGGGTGTAGTTACAGGGAGCGGTAGATACAGGTAGATATTTCAGGGTAGAAGTTACATGACAGTGGTTACACTGTTACATGACATTAGTAACACGGGTGTAGTTACAGGGAGCGGTAGATACAGGTAGATATTTCAGGGTAGAAGTTACATGACAGTGGTTACACTGTTACATGACATTAGTAACACGGGTGTAGTTACAGGGAGCGGTAGATACAGGTAGATATTTCAGGGTAGAAGTTACATGGCAGTGGTTACACTGTTACATGACATTAGTAACACGGGTGTAGTTACAGGGAGCGGTAGATACAGGTAGATATTTCAGGGTAGAAGTTACATGGCAGTGGTTACACTGTTACATGACATTAGTAACACGGGTGTAGTTACAGGGAGCGGTAGATACAGGTAGATATTTCAGGGTAGAAGTTACATGGCAGTGGTTACACTGTTACATGACATTAGTAACACGGGTGTAGTTACAGGGAGCGGTAGATACAGGTAGATATTTCAGGGTAGAAGTTACATGACAGTGGTTACACTGTTACATGACATTAGTAACACGGGTGTAGTTACAGGGAGCGGTAGATACAGGTAGATATTTCAGGGTAGAAGTTACATGGCAGTGGTTACACTGTTACATGACATTAGTAACACGGGTGTAGTTACAGGGAGCGGTAGATACAGGTAGATATTTTTAGAAGTTAGCAGTGGTTACACTGTTACATGACATTAGTAACACGGGTGTAGTTACAGGAGCGGTAGATACAGGTAGATATTTCAGGGTAGAAGTTACATGACAGTGGTTACACTGTTACATGACATTAGTAACACGGGTGTAGTTACAGGGAGCGGTAGATACAGGTAGATATTTCAGGGTAGAAGTTACATGACAGTGGTTACACTGTTACATGACATTAGTAACACGGGTGTAGTTACAGGGAGCGGTAGATACAGGTAGATATTTCAGGGTAGAAGTTACATGGCAGTGGTTACACTGTTACATGACATTAGTAACACGAGTGTAGTTACAGAGCGATAGATACAGGTAGATATTTCAGGGTAGAAGTTACATGACAGTGGTTACACTGTTACATGACATTAGTAACATGATATTTCATTTCATTTTCCATAAGACTGTCTGTGTCACCTTGACCTGGTGAACAATATCAAATGCCCGGGATATCAGCACAAATGTAGGTCATTAAAATACGATATAAATCAGGTCAGTAAACAGAACGTCTCGCAAGAAGACGTGCTATTTCATAATACCCACTTTCTATATAAAGACACATCAACGCACGCTCTGTCAGTGTGTCCACGGGTATGTCAACACCGAGGTAGGTATTTAGTCGTATACGGAGCTCATCCAAATGTGACTCGACGTGCCATCAAAGGTTCGTTCAGTTTTAGCGACTAAAGTATCCTGGGAACGTTGTCACAAAAGCTGCATGTCGAATATTACCCAGGACTCCGACACCAGACCATAATCTTAGTGCAAGGACCCAGACTGAATTAGGTTAGGCGTACAGTGGAGGCTCGATACGGGATATACCATAAATCACAGACACACAGCTCAGGTCTCCTTGTGTCAGGATCGTGCACACACTATTGTCTGAAGACGGTGTGTTGACTACAAAGTGTAGACTGGTTTGGTTGCAATTCCTGCAGTCGTATCAGTCAGTTCCGAGTCAGAGTCATACACTGGATGTCTGGCTGCTGTGTCTCTTAATACTGAGGTGATGTGACTAAGTTCCTTCTGTTCCAGGGCAATCTAAAGAAGGACGATGTTATAGTGTTTATAGATCTGTCACTGAGACATGGGTGTTTTTTGTACACTGAGTGAATGAGTTTAGTTTTACGCCACACTCAGCAATATTCCAGCAAAATGGCGGCGGTCTGTAAAAAATCGAATATGGACCTAACAATCCAGTGATCAACAGCATGAGAATCCATCTACGCAATTGGGATACGATGTCAGTCAAGTCAGCGAGCCTGACAACCTGATCCCGTTAGTCGCCTCTTACGACAAGCATGGGTTACTGAAGATCAATTCTAACCCGGATCTTCACGGGTTGTTTTTGTACACTCACTTTATATGACTAAATCATTTGAATTGTTTCAGAATCAAGCACAGCAAAAGAGACTTCTAAGCAAGGACGATGTTTGAGTGTTTAACTCAGTGGTGGCCCCAGTCTGTGATAACCCAGGCTCTTGTTGTTGGGATAGTGGTTGGAGTGATCGCCTATAATCTCTTCAAGAAACGATACAACCTACCGCCAGGACCAAAGGGATGGCCGTTAGTTGGAAACCTTTTGGGTGAGTGACTTTAATATATTTTCAATGTGAATCTAACAACGATATTTCTACTTATCGAATGAATGGATTCAATCATATATTATTTCTCGAATTGCATTGAACGTTAAAGTCTGTGCTGTCAGAACTTCATATTATCTTTATACATGTAATTTGTGACTTGTGATCAGATTCTAATATGATCATTTCAACCCAGCTTTATCTGTTTTACACGTGCTGTTGTACAAGAGCACGTGTTAATTCACATGTACTTAAGGGGCATGGGGGTAGCTTAGTAGTTAAAGCTTTCGCTTGTCACGCTGAAGACCTGGGTTCGATTCCCCACATGGGTACAATGTGTGGAGGCCATTTGTGATGTCTCCCGCTGTGATATTTCTGGAATATTGCTGAAAGCGGCGTAAAACAGACTCACTCACTCACATGTACAAAACCTGTACGTCACACGTCTGTGGTGCAAAGATGATACGTATTCATATATGCACATGGGCATAAATTAAGTTCCGCCTGTGTCAGTTTTTAACATTTTAGTCCAAAAAGGCAATTATACCTTAGTGTAATGGAGTGCACACGTAAAACACGTGTTTCACTCAATGTTCATGTTGGGGTTTAAATTTCATTATCGCAGTGTGCGCACTATTGAATAGATGAAACTATTGTCGGCATGGTAAAACTTTCGGAAAATACATGATGGCAAGACATTGTAATGTTTGACGGAGAGACGTCTTGTTGCAACATCGGTAAATGTTTATATTTCTAACATGCTTCGCTACAAGGTCAAAGACTCCGACAGTACTTTATCCGGAGGTAAAGTACACCTTTTGCATTACGTCACACTGAAATGACGTCACTACGCCATTCTAGTCTGCCCCTCGTCATCAAACGGGTTTGGTACCAATGTGCCTACAGTTCATTCTGCCCAATTTGGGCATACAGTCTAATTTGGGTATAATTACAACTGTAGGCAGATTGGGAATTGAAAAAACACCCATAGAATATAATGAATTGACCCAATGTACCCTTGCTAAACGACGTCACGCTTGCCGTAAGTTGTCATTGTGTAGTGCAGTCTCCTAAAGTGCAATTAACTCGGTTACATCTCCGTTTTATGGTATATAGTTGCTCCAGGCGGCTAACATCACCCGAGGAAACATTTCAGTTAACTTTTTAGACGGAAACATTGCCTCAGCTTCACCAAGAATTAAATATGGTCATTTAACCCTAAAGCTACAGTCTTGTAATTCTTAAATGTAAATACAACCATGTACATACAATACATACAAAAATCAAGTACAAGCAAGCCAGGACTAACATGTAACCTAACCATGTGAGTACAAGCATAAAACTACCACGCTGATACCACAAGCCTGTAATTCTTAAATGTAAATACAACCATGTACATACAATACATACAAAAATCAAGTACAAGCAAGCCAGGACTAACCTGTAACCTAACCAAGTGAGTACAAGCATAAAACTACCACGCTGATACCACAAGCCTGTAATTCTTAAACGTAAATACAACCTTGTAAATACAACCATATATACTCATGCCATTGGTTTTTGTCACCCCCTCCCCACCCCAACCCCACACACACCTCACACCCCCACCCCACACACCCTCTCCAAAAAAAAATTGAAGTGGGTGACAACCATTATTGGCATGAGTATATGTACAAGTATGTTGGACAACATGTTGCTTGAAACATGTCAGTCCAAGCATACGACTACAGCCATGGCTACAGCCATGTAACTACAACCATGTAACTAGAAACAGGTAAACACTACAATCTAAGTACTAAACAATGTAACTCTAACCCTGTAGTAACTACAATCTATGTGAGTGAGTATGTAAGTGAATTTAGTTTTATGCCGCTTTTGGAAATATTTCACCGCCCCACAATCTCAGTACAGTTCCACAGGGGGTAAGCACTGCCCATGCTCAACCGAAGGTTGGTCGTCATCAACTACCATTTCCCCGATAGACAGTCTATCACGGTAGAGAGTCATAGATGGCCAAGGTATCTTTATAAAGTGAAGTTCTAGCTAAGATTTCAGAATATCTCAGTGGCATTGCTTTAAAGGTTTGCGTAGATGGAAAAAGAGAAACATTGGACCAAATATGTCGTTCAATACACAGCTGCATGCTTCAAACCAAGGTCCTACCTCAGTTGATAAATAACACGAAACCAACTACCCGTACAGTACCCTTTCAACAACCCGTACAGTTGATTTGTTTACATGAGCAACTACCATCAGCGCGTACAGTTATTGTTTTCGCTAATATCTCAGTTTGTATGTTTTGACAGAAGCTAAAATCTTGACACAGCGGCTACATAACCTCATTTAGCCTAAAAATGCACAATACGTGAAATGAATTCAATTGATTATGTTGTAAAGACGTCGAAAGTGGTCGATTTCTCGGCTTTTCTGATTCGCGCCAAAAGACGTGTCAAGAAATGTTTCAAATGTAAATAAAATATAACGTGTCACGACCAAATGATATAGGGGTTATAATCCATGGCCAATGAGCTTATGAGACCAGTCAATTTCATAACATTTACTGCTTGGGAATATAAAAATCTTACAAAGTTTGGGACTCACTCTCTACCGAGATCGACTGTCTATCGGGCAAATGGTAGTTGATAACGACTAACTTCCGGTTGAGATGGACAGGGATTACCCCACGTGAGTTCTGTAACTACATTTATGTTACAACATGTATCTGACTGCAACCAATGTAACTACATCCGTGTATGTGCAATCACGTGACGACAACTATGTATATATATTATGTAAATACGACCATGTAATTAAGCATGTAAGAAGAGCCATGTAAGTAAAACCACATCAAGATGATGCTTTTTATCTCCAGAGGTGCGAGGGACTCTCCTGTTCCGAAAACTCCGCGACTGGAGCAAAACATACGGTCCAGTTATGACGATTCAGCTGGGTAAGATAACCTGCTTTACGATGGTACAACAATGTATCAGGTAGACACGTGAAGTGCAACATCAAAATTAATGCATCGGTTACAAACATTATATCTGTTACAGTTAAAGTTTTTGCACGTACCATGGGCTTTTTGGAACTCCTGTACCATAGCTATTTAATAGTGATCTTTGAATGCATCCTTAGTTTTTGTGAAGACTTGGTACTATCACCCTTTGACAATGATCTTTTAATTCCTTATGTCTAAATGGATCCTGCGTTTGGAAAAAGGGTTTTGTTGCCTTTGTATCCATGTTAAATAATGAAGGCTGTCATGAGGATCCTGGACACTGGTGACCATGTATATTTCAACTACTTATGTAGGACGTATACAGCATACAGTCGAATACTGAGAACGTCGTGGTCTTCCATGACGGTCAATCGTGAATTGTGCAGAGATTCTCACCAATACCGCACCAGTAACTCTGTACCCCAAGGAGAACAATTATGTTAGGTTTTGTTTGTTTATTGTTTTAGCAATATTCCAGCTGTATGGCGACATCAATGAATGGCGACAATCCAGTGATCAACAGCATGAGCATTGATCTACACAATTGGGATACGATGACATGTGCCAACCAAGTCAGCAAGCCTGACCACCCAATCCTGTTAGTCGCCTGTTAGACAAGTTTGGGTTGCTGAAGACCAATTATAATCAGGATCTTCACGGGTCTTATATGCAACCTATTCGCTGATAAGAAGATATTCGTATTCACAATAACAGAAGTGAACATAATGATTTTCAGGTACTCTCAAAGCAGTTATTCTGAGTCGAATAGATGTTGTAACGGAAGCTCTCATTACAAGACAAGCAGACTTCGCAGGAAGGCCGGATACATATGTTGGTAAGACGTCATTCACCACATACATACTATAAAAACACTCATATAATTCTATATTTGGGCAAATCGCTGAAAGTCTCTCTGTAGGTCCGAATATCAGTCGTTTTTAAGATATCTTCATGTTAATTGTTTCCTTGCTTCCATTGATTTCTCCACACACATACTTCCAACCAGACCATATAGTGTTTTATTGGGATTATAATATTACGTTTTAATATTGAGATATTTGAGTGGTCAGAGGACTACATTTCAAAACGGGCACTGAAATCGTGGAGAGTGCCTCTGTAAGACCGAATTAATGATCATTATGCCAATTGCTTCCTTGCTTTCATTGTCTCGGAACACAACCCCTAATAAAACAATTATAGTTGTGCGTATAGGGGTGTGGTGTTGTGGTGGTGTGGGTGGATGGATGGATGGATATGGTTATTTAACACTCTTTATTTATCCCCAGTAACTAAATTAACCAAGGGAGGAAAAGACATAGTCAACGCATCGTACGGCCCAACGTGGAAGTTGCACCGGAAAATTACATCCAAAGCGCTCAGGTAAATTTTCACTTTTTTTATGCAAAGATGGCATGGGTTATACTTAGTTGCCAAAAATGATAGTTTTCTTCAAACAGTGAATTCCAATTAATATTTAACTACGTTTTGAAGTTACACAACCCCTGAATTGTATGTAAATCATTTATTCTCAAATGTTTAAAATTTGAGGGGCATTAACACATGACCCAACTATTCAGTGAAATTACATGGATTTGGATGGAGCTTGAATCATTGATTAGAGAATGGGAGTCATTATCCCCAAAGTATGTTAATGTGTGATACTAGGTTAGTCAAAGTGCAATTTGATATATTTTCATATATATGTGTATCAGGCACTATCTAATGGGAGACAACCTCAGCCGGAAAGTGTCCCAATCACTCAACATCACTACAACGTTGATGAGAAAGGAACAAGGAGCCTTTGATCCTTTCCCCTACCTGTCACTCTCGATCTCCAACATGATGACAGGAATGCTGTTCAATAAAATCAGGTAATAATATCTTTGTTATTTTGGTTGTTGTTTATAGATATCTTTTAACACAGAATGTATTATTGTTCTTAGAGTCTCAGGTATCTGAACTTTAAGTTAAAACACATTGTTTTTCTTCTGCATAAACATGTTTTGAGAACATGAGAAGGCTGATAGTGACACCTCACGCAATCATCTAATCTTCAGTTGTTTCTCAAAAACACTGGATAACTTGTGTATTGAATATGTATTTGTTTGTGTGTGTGTGGTTTACGGAACAAATTTCATCAATAAGATATTTTTGTGTACGATGTTGATAACCGAGCCTCATCTTATTAAGTTTGATTTCTTCTTTTGTTTGTGTGTTCGTTTGTTGTGTAACTCCGCAATGAGCAAAATTCCAGCTATTTGATTGCGGTGTGTAAATGATCGACATCAGTGATCAACATCATGAGCATCGATCGACATAATTGGGATACGATGACATCTTTCAACCAACTCTGCGAGCTTACCCACTAGCACACGTTAGTCGCCTCTTACGACAAGCATGGGCTGCTGAAGATATTTTATTCAGTAATGTTAAACAGAGGCAGAGTACAGAGATACGAGTATGAACGACCGTAGGGTTTTGACGTCTTGACGCGTATGTTGTAGTCTCCCATGTACCTTCTAATGTACGTGTCAGAAATGCGTTATTATGTATAAAAGTCACAGATTAGCACTCAAGGCTTTTTCCTGGTTGTCAGAACCATCAAGGGTTTCACCAAATGGAAACTGTGTAAAACCGGCACCGCATTACTCTGTCAACCGTCAAAGCTGAGTTAAACCAAACTCATCTGAATGTTTCTTTAATTCTAGTGAAAATGTAGACTCTGAATACTATAAAGCGTACGTCGTCACCCTGGACGATTTTATGAAAGAAGCTGGAGAAGGATTTCTGGAAGATTCAATTCCCCCGCTTCGTCTGTGCCCAACGCCTAGATTCAGACGTGTTACTCGAGTCACCGATAAACTATTAGATTCCATCAAGAAAGAAATTGCAGCCCACAGAAAAACGTTCAACAAAGGTAAGCATCATCTAAGAAAACGTTTAAAAGTTCCTCAATTACTGTAATTTGTTGTCTACTATTGAAAACAGGAATAAACTAGACGTATATGCCGGATTAGGTTTGTGACCAAAACGCTGAAAAGGTAACACTTGTCAATATATACTTAAAAAAGAAACTTCACGTGCAACTTTATCCCAAACAAAACCTTATAGAACAAAGTGTTTTGCTAGTGGATACATCTTGTTTACAGATGTAATGAGGGTACTCTAAAACAGGATTAGGCATTCAGGTGCGCTTGGTGCACCATCCACAGGCAACAGTAGCACGATGGGAACGCACGATGGGAATCATTTTTTGATTCACAGGGACTAGCCGTCTGTATTGGAGCGCGTTCAGTACCGCGTATGTCCCTGGTCGCCCTCACAACAGCATGGCAACGGGAGGTGTTTATCTCTCAAAGACTATTAACATGTGTTTCCTTATCACCTCATTTCTGGGTCAGAAGCAGTTGAAATAGGCGGATGCGTCAGGTTTGACCTGGCCATTATGGTATTCTCCCATATTAACTACTACCCATTTTCAATATAAATCATTTCTTTTTGGTTCAGTATATCTTTGTGTCTTGCCTGAATCATACTGAGTAATAATTTGGAGGAAAGGAAAATGTACGTTTTTCTAGTATTTTATTAATTTAGTTAAAGAAGGAAAAAATATGAAAACATTCCAAAAAAATGCTACATTATAGTTGATACTCTTCATAATAAATGAATATGACGAGTAAGCTTCAAGAAGGCAGCGATAACTTGCGCTCCTTCAAGAATGCCATGAAGACTTTCTCTAAATGTCTTTCTGTCCTGGTTTCCTAGGACAGTTCATTTACTCGAATACAGACAGGATTACAGACTGATCGATTGCTGAATCCTTTACAGATGAGATACGGGACTTCACAGATGCGTTGATACAGGCTCAGCAAGAAGCAGATGAAGGGGACGATCCTGTCCTAATGTCACAGATTACAAACATACATATGGCCATGACAATCTTTGACTTAGTATTCGGTGAGTCATCTAGTTTATGCAAGACGTTCCACACGTTTCATTACAAAGAAAAGTACCTTGAAGATCCCGGTTAGAATTGGTCTTTAGCAGCCAATGCTTGTCGTAAGATGCAATAGGGGGGGGGTAGGCTCGCTGACTTGGTTGACACATGTCATCTTATCCGAATTGCGTAGATCGATGCTCATGCTGTTGATCACTGGATTGTCTGGTCCAGGCTCGATTATTTACAGACCGCCGCCATACAGCTGGAACATTGCTGAGTGCGGGGTTTAACAACAAACCAACCAACAACAAACAACATTATTCCGTAATGTTTCCACAACAGTTATGCTACACAACAATAAACATTATGATAATAAGCCAAGGAAAATTGTTACTGACTGAGAACGGTTAGTGCTTGACAATATAGTGAAACTCCATGTGGACATATATGTTTGTACCTTTCCGATCTCATTCCCTATCTCTCTTCCCACTAAAAAGAAGTTGAATAACATCTTTTCACGTGCTGCTGTCCAAACTGAAACAAGAAAGTAACCCAGAAATGCACGTGCTAAAGAATTCATGTGCTAAAGAATTGAGCCTGAAATAACGAAAAACAAACAATGTTAACAATTACGGGTGTGTTCTGGTTTACAAATCAATATTATTTATGGGAAGGAACTTTACTATTGAGCACTCAATAGAGTGGAGGTACAAAATTCAGTGCCGGTGGAAAATGAAATAGCTGTGGTCATAGCAGGTAATGGTATTGACCTAGTAGCAGCAGGATTCAAGCTGCTTAAAAGGCATAGGATGGCTAATTAGATTGTAAACAGATGGATTTCATAACATCGTCCGTCTTGGTGTGATGTGAGATAAGTGTGGCATACGCTTGCCCACTTATGTAGTCTTTTTTACCTTCCACAAACTTCTATACTATGTTCGATAGGTCTTGAAGATTGCAGATTACCCTTGACTGCTGAAGCATCTGGATAGAGTAACTTCTGCGTCAATGATTACCTTTGATAGTAATACATTCCTGATAACTAACAATTTTCAGAAGACAATGTTTATGAATCGCTCATGAACCTTAAAAGAACATTGCATTCTCTAAAAAGGAATTTCACTGCCATATTACAACCCTCAATTAAAATAGTATGTTCGATGATTAAAGGTTATTGGTCATGGCCATGAGTCGGGCCTTTTTTAAGCATAGTTGTCAAGAAGTTTATACTTAAATAACAGCTGGACTTCTCTTGAGAAGCATAGTTGTCAAGAAGTTTATACATAATTAACAGCCGGAACAGACACCTCTCACGAATTACTAGGATGTCTCCTTGTCATAGATGGGGACGACACCCATCAGGTGCAAATCCTAACAGGAGCAAGCTAGAAAGCCATACAAATCTGTGTAGTCTTTTACTGCTACAGAGATAATGCGCTAAGATTGTTCACTATGTTAACATTGCTTGTCTTGAATCACCATTTTGAAAACAATGAGTGAATCACAACTCTCACCGTTGTTTTAAAGGACACTTATCGCTTCTCTTTGAATTCATGGTATAATACATATATGTCATGTAACATTTCAGCTGGTACAGAAACCTCGAGGAACACGCTTCATTGGTGTCTCCTGACGATGGCTCTCCACCCTGACATCCAGAAGAAGGTGCACCAGGAGGTGGACTCCGTTATTGGTGCGTTGTAAGAAAGGCTGTTGCAATATTTAAACAATAACCTATAGACATCTTTGATATCCTATCATTAGCTTGTGTGATGAATAGATTGTACCTAGCTACGTATGAGTGTACACGGTCAGAACTTGCAGAACCTGTAAACACAAACTGATAGGGATACCAAGCCAACACAAAACACAAACGCTTACAAAGCTGATTTTGAAAACATGTAGCATTAAAGAAACTGCAAGTGTGTATTTGGACGTGAATATAAAATGTGACGGCTTCGGTTTGGACGTTAAGAGTAAAGCGGTAGACCAGTGATGATGTGGTATGATGAATGGTAGTGGGCAGTAGTAAACACATAGTGTGAAATGTGCATCAATAGGTTTCTCTATATTGCGAGGGGGTTAATGAAGGAAGTGTATGGTAGGTACACCCAGGGAAGCATTTCATCATCTAAGCTTCCTCTGAACCTCACCGACAAAGAATGGATAACCCACGTCAGGCTGACCATCTGATCTTTTCCCTACTTGATTCAGAAGATACCATCCACCTGAAGAAGGGGCAAGAACTAGCCCAGAAATCAAGAAGTTGTCATCCATAAGATTTGTCTTGTATTACCATTATCCTGTATGTCCTTACATCATACACATGTGGTCCCATCGAGCCTCTTTTAAATGAATATGTTTGCATTTACTTTGGTAAAGTATCATTTTAGAACGGAATATTGCAAATAGCGGCGTAAAACCCACCTCCCACACGGTTTCTGTGAACATAGGATGCATAATGTTGTGTGATACCTGCTTAAGTAAAGCTGCGTAAGACCTTCAGGGTAACTCATGACCTTGTCAATGGCTCCCTGACAGTGGTATTTGCTATGGTTGCAGGTCCTGATCTGAACGTGCACGTTTCGGACAGGGAGAACTTGCCATACACCGATGCAGTGATACATGAGGTCATGAGGTTGAGGTCAGTCGTTCCCATTGGCGTTGCTCACTCCACGCTGTGCGATACCACAGTTGGTAGGTATTACAGTACGTTCCACAAACGAGTGGAGGGTAGATAATAGTGTTTGATGAAGTCTTGGTTTCCTGCAACAATGGTCTTGTCACGTGGACATTACACGTGCATGTCGTCGAGTTGTTGTCTCTGGTAGTCATGGCAGCGTGATACATTTAAATGTTATGGTGATTATGGATATAACAATGATGACAATAGAAATCAGACGCTTGATTAAAACAAAGACAAGCGCCGAAGAAAAGTAATTTCGTTATGTCTGTGACGTTTGTTATTGGAAGAAAAGGTAAATGTAAACGATGTTGTGTTGAAATGTATGAGTTCGGTTTCTTTTAGTACTAAATATTGTGTATTTCGTAAATAAATTAATATATATGGGTTTTTGCATATCTGCTCTTCCGTCAAGGGTAAATGTTTTACTTCACTATCACTATGTATGATCCTTCAGTATTTGCTTCGATGATGATGATGATGATGATGATGATGATGATGATGATGATGATGATGATAAATAGTTTTAATATCAAATGTGATTACGACTTGGTTTATGTCAGTTAAGCTGTCTTTATCAAACCATCAGAAATTGGGATAGATGAATGTATTTCTTAAGATATTGATGATAATTTTCAGGTGGATATGATGTTCCCAAGGGAACAATGGTGATTATCAACCACGACGCTTTGCACTTTGACCCTGACCAATGGGAGGATGTCAATACGTTCAAACCTGAACGATTCCTTGACTCAGATGGAAAGATGGGTCCCAAGCCAGATAGCTGGCTTCCGTTCTCTGCCGGAAGGAGAGTTTGTCTCGGGGAGACAGTTGCAAAACCCGAGCTTCACCTCTTTCTTGCTGGGATCATGAGGGTATTTACCATCTCACTCCCCCCTGGGACACAGCACGACTTTGAGCCACAGAGTACGGGGGCTGTTAATACTCCTGGGAGATACAAAATTGTCATGAAATCGAGAATTTAAGTTAGTGTTTTGTGTTCCATTTCGTGCAGAGTTTCAGTTTCATAGTTGGTCAAAAGACTGGAATAAAATCATCAAGTGACAAATGCTGAGTAATTTACAGCAACACTGAGACATTGAGGGTACAATACTGACACATTTAGCTTCACCCAGTCAATTAGGGCACGCTGCTGACCCAAGTATAAATTTTGAGGCCAATCTGTGATTTGATATTATTCAAGGTGGAATTATAACCAACTTGTTAAGGCTGGACCAGTCGATGATGGGATTTAAGATATACATACTATATCGACAATTATATACTTGAAATCACTCCTCAGCTAGTGCACACAAAATGACGTTCATGCTGCTTCTTTTTGTTCAGTCTATGTGTGTCATATATTTTTAATGTGATCGTTTCTTAAAATCGGATCTTTAATAAATACAATCATCAAAAGTGACAAACTGAACACTTTTTGCACCGGCCATTTGATATTCTGTGTACGCGATTACAACTTCATTCAAATAAGAAAAATGTCTTGTTCGAAAAAAGACAAGATCGGCCATTTCAACAAAACCTTCGCGGGTGTGTTCAAGAATGTGTCTTGAAGTTTGTATGTTCTGCTCGTTTTAGAACAATGTGCATTTAGAAGCAGTTTCCATCCACTGATTTACCCACCTGACTTTGAAATTAAGGAGACAAGTGAGACTGTGTTTCATATCTACTTCTGTGCATAAAGATTCAAAAACTCTCAAGGTGATGTGATAAGAGGGATGACCTCACAGCTATTTTGCCCTTTACACCAAACGGAATATGTTTCTGAGGATAAATGAGACTGTATATGCTTTAGCACAGACGTTATATTTCAACAGGCTTCTCAAATATAGTGTAGCAGCACAATGCACCAAGTCAAAAATTGTAAAAATAATTCTTTATGCTTTTATAGATGCTTCTTAACCATAGTTTGTACATCACTTGATTGATGACGAAACATCACTTTTGATTGCAATAAAGGAGTTGTTCATCCACATATCTTATCTTTAATCTGAAGTGTCCTCATGTCAACTGACGTAATCCTGTGTAGTGAATATTGTTCCGACGTTTGGTAAAGGAACAAAACAGTAATTAAGTCCAATCATCATGGCGTGACTCGATGAACACTGTATGAAAGTACAGCAAGGTACAAGGTGCAAACAATTTTTTAAAAGCAACTGTTTGGTAAATCCTTATGTGTTTCCTTGTCACCACTGTCAATCCCAACATATGTTTTATAAGACACATTGTTTGGCAATTGGCTTCAATGTAAAGAATATTGTGCAAAAGCAAAGGAGTATATATAACTGGAGTATTGCTGAATGCGGTGTTAACACCAACAAACTACTCGGATACCCTCAACATCACGTACACGAGAAGATCCGGGTTAGAATTGATCTCCTGTAACCAATGCTTGTCCTAAGAGGCGACTTACGAGATCGGGTAGTCAGGCTCGCTGACTTGGTTGACACATATACCAATTACGAAGACCAATGCTCATGCTGTTGAGTACTCTTCTGGTCCTGACCCGATTATTTACTGACCACCGCCATATAGCTGGATTAACAGACATAGAAAGGAATAATACCCCAGCAAGTTTAGTACCATGTACCCTGGATTGTCTACAGGAACATTATGGTGGGCGAGCTGTCTAAGGAGCCAGGCTAGTGATCCAGCGAGCTTGAGGTGTGGGGATCGAGCACACACCGGGGTGTAAAAACCTTGGAGTCAACTTTGTGTGCAGACTCTTTCAGTGTTGTCACAACCCCTAGAGTACACTACACAACCCTGTGCACTAAAAAGAACCCACGAATCCGTTAGTATTTGAACAGATGGTGGCCACAAACACCTAGTTGCGGGTACAGCAACGTGCAGTAAACTTGGACAAAGTACTGTGACAATGTGTCCCAGTCCACCCAGCTGCCAATGGGTACCTCGTAAGGATGAGAAAGGCGCAATATCTCGGTGCGCCTAGTGGCCGGGGAGTTGAGATTGATAATACGATGTGCCGTTGAGATTGAAATCTAGTGATCGAGAGGAAAACATATCAGCGCCTTGAACATGTACTAGGTGCGTGGAATTGATGTGCGTTATATAAATATCATAAATATCATATAATATAGAATAATGTCAAGGGCACACCTAAAGTTGTCACGGCCTTGAGGTACCACCACTTGAAAGGTCGATTGTTTTCTTGTTTAGATAATATATTAAGTGTTCGACCAGCCAATGCACTAGCTGCATTTTATCTGCGACCCCTGAATCGACCCAAAGGCGTTGTTGGTATTATGCCTCTCCAACTGGAATAGATACACTAGCCAAGACCGTTCAACGTGTCAGATGAGCTTTTCATTAGCTTTCACGTCTTACTAATAGTTTTCAGCGTAAATATTCCGTTAAATATTAACCTGTTGATGTTGTAACTATAACATTAATCAAGTTATTTCTCTTTCAGGTTTTTCCTCGAATCATTCACTTCGTGCCACCTGCGGTACCTGGTCACCGAAGCAATGCCATTCAACAGTATAAGTGAGTTACAAATAACTCATACAAGGATCAAAACGCCAATAGCTTAATTACTAATATTCAATATGGTTTCAAGGAAAATCGTAGTACGATTGGAATCCTATGTTCAGAAAGCGATTGCATCTAAACAACACACAGTATCAAATTTCTTTGATTTGGATTTTGGATTTGGAGAAAGCCTACGATACTACCTGGAAGCATGGCATTCTAATGGGTTCACATGATTTTAGTTTAAGGGGTCGTTTACCTCTTCTTATATCATGTCTTATATCTTATAACAGACAGGCAATTTCAAGTCCGATTGGGTTCAACCCTGTCTGACAATTACAATCAGGATGAGGGTGTTCCACAAGGCAGTATTTTGCTGTCACGCTATTTAGTATTAAATTAAACAGTCTTTCAAAGGCTTTAACGGATTCAGTAGATGGATCTATTTTTGTGGATGATTTCAATATTTCTTGTGGTGGTAAGAAATATGCATACAATAGAAAGGCAGTTACAAAATTCAAAATGGTCAATTGAAAACGGCTTTAAATTTTCTAGATCAAAAGCTAATTGTATACATTTCTGTAGAAATATAAGCCGCATAAGGATCCAGAACTATTTTTAAATGGCACGCCCATCAAGGTTGTAAAGGAGTCCAAGTTCTTGGGACTGAATTTTGACTCTCATTTGACTTTCTTACCACATATTAAATACTTAAGAAATAAATGCCTGAAGGCACTGTGCTTGTTGAAAGTCGTTTAAACTAACTAATACAAGAAAACAGCAAAAATAAAATAACTGAAAGTTTATTTAAAAACCTTGGGCTGAAGGCAAATTGCATTTTGCATAACACAATTATGATAGTGCCATCATGCATTGGCTTATATTAAGAAATATATTATTTCCCCGAGTCCAAGAGGTTTAGAGGTAACGACTGTAAATTGTTTGAACATTAACTAAAAGTATAAACTGGGTTTACCTGAACAATAATATACAAACATATGGGAGAATAATAATTCCTAGACAGTAGACATGTAATTGATATAATAATCATTATGATGCATTTTGCAGTGCCTCCCCTAACAATTGCATAGCTTCTAGATATTGTTTCCTAGAAATGTCAAAATAGCGCAAATAAGCTTTGCTTCTCCAAAAACCAAGATCCTGAATTACCTCGCCAGGTAAACCTACATCAAAGGCCCAACAAGCGCATCCTCGTCTATAAGAGTGTCCAGTAAGGTGAACAGAGATACCATTTTGCTGCAAGATGTAAACATCTAAGAACTTGTGATAGGTTAACACTTGACAGTTATTGTCACACAACAGGGGGTGTGACATGTCATGATGGGTATGAAATTTAAGAACATTGTCGATGGCCGACACTGGATTGAGAGGATGGTCACTAATGGCCGGCAAGTAAACATAAACAATCTTTTCCCTGAACTGGAGAGTTTTTGTCCAATTTAAAGCAATACGGTAGGAACTACCATACTGTTCAATCTAACCAATTATACCTAACCTCACAGAACATTAAACAACACAGCAAATGTTGGAAGCTGCCTCTGAGATATGAATGTTCCAGAGCTGCACTTCCATGAAAGGCAATGAAGTCAATTAAATGCCTACGTGTTCACATATGGTGTTCCGACACGTACCGTCTCACTCAAAGCAGGCTATTTCCACTGAAGGGTCGATGCTTTTATTCCAAATTCCCTTAGATGCTACTTTTTTAGTTGTTGTTTTTTTATAAAAGTTGTTATCATGTATTTTGACGACAGGATTTTATACTGTTTGAATATATTTGTTTTTGGCGTATAATTATCTCGCATCATGATATGGCTGAAATAGTGCCGATAAATTTTAATTCACTCACCCACTTAAAAAGTTGGAACATAAAAACTAGACAGGGAGCTGAAACTGACGCGGTACCGACCAGAGACTCAACATTGTTTTATTGCAGTAACGTTCGGGTTTCTGTTAATTCCACATCGGGAGTGCCGACAAGTTCTTCAACGAAAACTTAAATCAGCTCCCAGCTCTACAACGTAAATAATCGAGTCTGCTCCAGATACCCAGTGATTGACATCATGAGCGTCGGTCTACGCAGTTGGGATACGATGACACGCATCAGCCAATTCAGCAAGCCTGACCACCCGATCCAGATAGTCACCTCTGGCGATCAATATGGATTGCTGATGGCCAAATCGAACCCGGATATTCGCTGGAAAATCCACATTCACTCACGTTGTCAACGTAAAAGTACTGGGGTACTTCAGTACAATTCTTCTGCTTATAGAAATCATTCGTTGAACATGCGAAATCAACACATCAACTATTTAACACCCAATTTGGACATATGATGACGGTGTTACGGTGGCCTGTGTCTGGACCTTATACAATATAGCTGGACCTGTGTCTGGATCTTAGGCAATATGGTAGGGTCTGTGTCTCGCCCTTGACAATGTAGCTGGACCTGTAATGTCTGGATCTTAGGCAATATGGTAGGGCCTGTGTCTCGACCTTAGACAATATAGCAGGACCTGTGTCTGGATCTTAGGCAAT